AACCTTTCCCTGAGATCCAACCTCAACCTCGTTCCACAGAAACCAAAGGCACCCACCCATTCCTTAAGGAATCCACCCCAATTAAACATCTCCAGCTTCATCCTTCCTCCAGGACATCCCACCACAGCCCAGGAGACTGTGAGTGAGGGCAGAATTCCTGACATCTCCTTTTCTTTGAGAACTCTCTCTCTTTGAACAAATTTTTCTTTCAGATACTCCACTTTTCCAAGATCTCCATACCCTTTTTTTTATCATTATTTCACGTTACTGCTTCCCTTTAAACCCTTTTCACATCCTAAAATCTGCCTAACCTTTAACATTCCTCCGTCTTAAAGCCTCGTGAGATGTTTGGGGGGATAGAATTTCTTTGGTGGAGGAAACTTTGAGGACATTTATCACCCTTTTACAGTTACTACATGGCCTTGTTGGTGACATTCCTTGGCTGCAAGAGGGTTTTTTTTGACAGAAATCTGCAGAGAAAAGCACGTCCCATCTATTCTTCCATGTGAGAGTTCAGCTTTCACACCAGATTATGACCCACTGGATGTGACTAAGGCACTGTAGGAAAACAATAGCAATAAATAAGCTGGGAAGTTTTATCCTGCTGCACACACAAAGCCAGTGTTGGGCTTGAAGTGTTTCATCCTTGGAGGAGGAGAAGAAGAGCCCCCAAAAAATCGAGTTTTCCTGCTAAACACTGAGTTACAAACGGCCCTGGAACGACACATTCCTCCTTCTGTAATGTGACAACTCCGACTGCAAGTGCCTGAGGTTAGAGCAAGTCACGTGGAAGCTGTTTTTCACGTTAAAAAAAATGAAATATTAAAATAAAAAAGGCATGTAGAGAGCACAGCTCGTGTCTGCCAGGGAGAGGAGGGGCCGTGCCTTGGCAGCTCCGGGGGGCTGGAGAGGGGAAGCGTCTCCTCCGTGCATCCAACACCACTTCCAAGCAGGCAAAAGCTGCCTGTCCAAGAGGCAGCAGGACTCAGGAGTGTCCAACAGGGATAATGAGGCGGTTCAGAGGGGTTCTGGAAGGCTCAGGGATGGGAAGGCTCAGGGATGGGAAGGCTCGGGGGCTCCGCGTGCGCCGCGCGTTTAATCCCGGCGGCGCTGGGGTGGTTTGAATTAGTCACGATGTCTCCTCGTCTTCCTACTGCTCCCCCCGGGCCAGGGATCCGGCCAAATTGGGATGGAAGCTTAATCCTTAAGGAAAACTGAGCTGGAGGCTTCAAAGCACGGCCCGGGGTTGTCAGACACGAGGTCGGGCTCTCTGGGAAAAGGCCCCGATTCCGGCACATGCTTCCCCTTCCAGCCCTCACCTCCATCAGTCAGCCCTGGGAAAGCAATTAGAGCCAGAAATCTGGGAGGGCTGCCCAGAGACACAGGGAGCTGGGAAGTGTCTGTCTGTCAGAGCTGTCCATCTGTCAGGACTCTTCCTTACGCATCCCGAGCCTCGCGGGCAACGCGGGGTGAGAGAAATTTGGGGCCTGGATATGAGAAGAGCCCTGATGCTCATCCAGAAACTTTCCAACTAACTGGCAAAGGCTGTTCCAGCTCCCATTTCTTTACCCCTGCCACGTTCCCAAAAGCCCTGAGGTCCCATCACTGATTTATCACAGACTCCCACAATGGGTTGGGTTGGAAAGGACCTTAAAGCCCCTCCAGTTCCACCCCCTGCCACGGGCAGGGACACCTCCCACTATCCCAGCTTGCTCCAAGCCCTGTCCAGCCTTGAGTTGTCCAAGGCTGGCCCTGTTCAACCCTCCCTGCAGATCTGGAATGCAGAAGAAACATCTTTCAACCAGGAATTTCAAGGTTGTGCTTTTTTGGGATTTTCCAGGGCAGCAGAGAGCAAAGCTGTAGGAAGAGGAGAACGACAGTTCTCCCTGGTTAACTTTTCCCATGCTTGGATGGGGCTGGATTAGTTCTCCAACTGATTTTGAAGGCTCAGTGGCTGCAGCTGCTCTGCCAGAGGAGTTTGCAGGCAGGTTTTCTCTCTAAACAGCCACTTGCAAACGGCTCCTAAAACATCTTTGTTCCCCAAAGTAGGAAACCCGGCTTTTTGGGATAACACAGCACAGGCAGAGCAGCTTTCCTTGCCTCTGGAATGCACAGCTCCTCTGCTTTACTCCCCCTGAAGAATTCCTGAGAAGTGCAGCCCCAAACATGCCCTCAATGAATCCCAGATTGGAGCCCCTGCAGAGGGACCCACCCAACCCCTTGGAAATCCACCCCAGGCTCCCGGGAATGCCCAAATATCCACACTGCTCACAGCATTCCTTGCATTCCTCCCTGATTGCTTCCACATGGACCCTCACTCCAGATTCCCCAACTTCTGTGGCTCCAGCACCTTCCCCTTCCTGGAGCTCTGGGCACCCACAGGCTCTGGAGCTTCCTTGGGGGGTATTTCCAGGGATCTCTGGGAGCAGATCCTGGGAATTTCCTCCTTCCAGTCACACCCTGATTGCGATTTTGAGGCTTTTTGGAGGGTGGGGGGAAGTTCTCTGACCTTCCATCAGATGCCTGCAAGTCACTTTATTAACAATATATTAACAATATATTAACAAGAGCTCGTCTCCAGCTGGGCAAAAATGGAAATAATTCACTTCTGGGTTGTCTCTTTCCATGAGAGACCTCAAAAGACTCGATAAAATCCCACTAATTTCTGGATTTTACACAAAATCACCCTTCTTAAAACACAGCTCTGGGTTTTTTTGCTGGCAGGGGTTTTTTTGGCTGCGGTGGGATCGAGGAGTGTTGTCACTTATGGATGGACTGAGTATATAAATGACAGATATAAATAAATCACCCGGTGTTGTTGCCCACATTTAGGGATTTAGTGCAGGAAAAGCCTCATCCATGCATTATCCTGGCTTTTTAGAAACACCTGAAGCCCTTTTGGGAAGAGCTTTTGGCCTTGTGCCACGTGAACAGGTCCCTGTCCCAGCCTAAAAGGAACCTTCTCCATGCCTGCAAAATCCCAACTGGGAACATCCCAAGTGGCAACTGGTGGCCAGCAACCCCTCATATGGGACTCCTGACTCATCTCCAGCCTCCAGCAGAACTCCCAGGTCCTTTTCCAGGGGGAAAAGGGCACAGAGGAGCAATAATTCCTTTCCACCAAAAAAAAACAACCCCGTGAACTCTTGGGATTTAGACTCCACCTGGAAAGTTTTCCATGCAGAGCCCTGTGCTGCAGGTTGGTGTTGGAAGCACCATGCAGGGATTCCCAGAGGGATTTGGGAATTGCTTCCTGCCTGCCTGTCATTCTGCTTTGCAGAAATCCAAGCCAGCCAGCCCTCTTCCTGGAATTTTCCAGGTGTTTGTCCCGGAGGTCTCAGAAAAAGTGGGAATGCTGCATTCCCAGCTCCAGCAGTAATTCCATCGTGGCACTGCAGTTTGCTTTAAAACCCTGGGCAATCCCTGCCCATCCAAACCACAGCCTGGCAAAAACTTCATCATTTTTCCATTGGAAAAAAAAAAAACAACAATCAAAGATATTTCTTTAGTTCCCAAAAGCAGGGACTGATTTGATTCCACTTCCAAGAGCGACCAGGGCTGGATGGACTCCTTGGTTTGCTGCTCTGGGATGTGGTTCCTGAGCTGCATCCCAGAGGATTTTTCATCCCAGAGGAGCAGAATTCACCAGCAGGTGACGATTTCCCTCCAGGAATTCGGGGGAAATGAGGATCCCTGGGGAAAACAACCCCAAAACCCGGAATATTTTGGGTCAGGTTGGGAAGGGGCTGCCAAAACACCCCAATATTTGAGGTGCCCAGAGAAATGTCTTTTCTTTTTTAAGAGAGCACGACTGCTCAGAGGGAGGAGGGTCCCCAGGACCTTCTCTTACCTCCAGCTGAGCCACAGTTGGGAGAAAGTTGTCCGTTGGAGCACGTGCACATGTTCGGCCGCGAACAAAACCCATCACCACAGGAATTCCTGCAGATTGCTGGAGGGGGAGAAGGAGGA